ATGCTGGACAAGAAAAATGATATCTAGTGGTAATAATACAAACCATATAAAAACATATAAGATCCTGAAGGGGGATAGTAGGAACTGCAGATGCTGGAAAATCCGAGACAACAAGGTGCAGGGCTGGATGAACACAGCAGGCCAAGCAGCATCATAGGAGCAGAGAGGCTGACGTTTCGGGCCTAGACCCTGCATCAGAAAAGGAGGAGGGGAAGGGGGTTTTGAAATAAATAGGGAGAGAGTGGGAGGCGGATATGAGAGCATAGGTGGAGAGGAAACAAACAGGTCGAAGAGGCGGGGATGGAGCCAGTAAAGGTGAGTGTAGGGAGGGAGTTAGGAAGGGGATAGGTCAGTCCAGGGAGGACGGACAAGTCGAGGGGGCGGGATGAGGTTGGTCGGTAGGAGATGGAGGTGCGGCTTGAGGTGGGAGGAAGGGATAGGTGGGAGGAAGAACAGGTTAGGGAGGCAGGGACGAGCTGGACTGGTTTTGGGATGCGGTAGGGGGAGGGGAGATTTTGAAACTTGTGAAATCCACATTGATACCATTGGGCTGCAGGGTTCCCAAGCGGAATATGAGTTGCTGTTCCTGCAACCTTCGGGTGGCATCGTTGTGGCACTGCAGGAGGCCCAGGATGGACATGTCGTCTGAGGAATGGAAGGGGGAGTTGAAATGGTTCGTGACTGGGAGGTGCAGTTGTTTATTGCGAACCAAGCGTAGGTGTTCTGCAAAGCGGTCCCCGAGTCTCCGCTTGGTTTCCCCGATGTAGAGGAAGCCCCTTCCTGGACCCCTCTGTCTCCATATCGGGCAACCACCTAGAAACCGATATTCATTTCAAGCCCACCGACTCCCACAGCTACCTAGAATACTCCTCCTCCCACCAACTTCCTGCAAAAATGCTATCCCCTATTCCCAATTCCTTCGCCTCCGCCGCATCTGCTCCCAGGATGAGGCATTCCACTCCCGTACATCTCAGTTGTCCTCGTTTTTCAAGGACCGTAACTTCCCCTCCTCGGTGGTCGAGAACGCCCTCAACCGTGTCTCCCACATCTCATCCCTCACACCCCGTCCACGCAATAAGAACCAAAAAAGAATCCCCCTCGTCCTCACGTACCACCCCACCAACCTCCAGATCCAACGTATCATCCTCCGACACTTCTTCCATCTGCAATCCGACCCCACCACCAAAGACATCTTTCCCTCCCCACCCTTATCTGCTTTCCGGAGGGACAACTCTCTCCGTGACTCCCTTGTCCGCTCCACACTCCCCTCCAGCTCCACCACACCCGGCACTTTTCCCTGCAACCGCAGGAAGTGCTACACCTGCCCCCATACCTCCTCCCTCAACCCCATCCCAGGCCCCAAGAAGACTTTCCACATCAAGCAGATGTTCACCTGCACATCTGCCAATGTGGTATACTGCATCCGCTGTACCCGGTGTGGCTTCCTCTACATCGGGGAAACCAAGCGGAGACTCGGGGACCGCTTTGCAGAACACCCACGCTCGGTTCGCAATAAACAACTGCACCTCCCAGTCGCGAACCATTTCAACTCCCCCTCCCATTCCTCAGACGACATGTCCATCCTGGGCCTCCTGCAGTGCCACAATGATGCCACCCGAAGGTTGCAGGAACAGCAACTCATATTCCGCTTGGGAACCCTGCAGCCCAATGGTATCAATGTGGATTTCACAAGTTTCAAAATCTCCCCTCCCCCCACCGCATCCCAAAACCAGTCCAGCTCGTCCCTGCCTCCCTAACCTGTTCTTCCTCCCACCTCAAGCCGCACCTCCATCTCCTACCGACCAACCTCATCCCGCCCCCTTGACCTGTCCGTCCTCCCTGGACTGACCTATCCCCTTCCTAACTCCCTACCTACACTCACCTTTACTGGCTCCATCCCTGCCTCTTCGACCTGTTTGTTTCCTCTCCACCTATCCTCTCCTCTATCCCTCTTCTTTCCGCCTCCCACTCTCTCCCTATTTATTTCAAAACCTCCTTCCCCTCCCCCTTTTCTGATGAAGGGTCTAGGCCCGAAACGTCAGCCTCTCTGCTCGGCCTGCTGTGTTCATCCAGCCCTGCACCTTGTTGTCTAAGATCCTGAAGGGACTTGATAGGGTGGATATCAGGAGAACGTTTCCTTTCATAGGGAGACTATGAACATGGAACAACAGTAGGCCACTGGGCTCCTCGAACTATGGCTGACTTTAACCTCAACTCTACATTCCTGCATATCCTTGATAATCTTTCATCCGCTTGGTAATCAAGAATTTATCTACCTCTGCCTTAAAATATTTAAAGATTCTACGTCCACTGCCTTTTGAGGAAGGGAATTCCACCGACTCTCAATGCTCTGAGAGAAAACGTTCCCTCACTTCTGTTTTAAATGGGCACCCGCTTATTTTTACATTATGACCCTTAGTTGTAGATTTTTCCACACCAAGAAACATCTTTGTAACATCCACATGGTCAACTCCCCTCAGGATCTTGTACATTTCAATTAAGTCAACTCTGATTCTTCTAAATTTCAGACGATACGTGCCTAGCTTGTCTAGCCTTTCCTCCAAAGGCAATCCACTCATTTCAGGTATTAGTGTAATATTCTCTGAACTGCTTCCGACGCATTAACATCCTTCTATAAGTACGGAGACCAGCACTGTAATGCTAGAAATAGGAGGCTTACCTTAAAAATAAACGATCTCTCATTCATGACAGAGATGAGGAAACTTTCCTCTCTCAGAGAACTGTCTTTACAAGAAGGCAGGGAAACAGGATAAATTATTTATGGCTGTGGGAGGTAGATTTTAGATAGACAAGAGAGTCAAAGATTATAGGAGGGGTTGACAAGAGGGTGGAGTTGAAACCAAATCAGGTCAACCATGATTTTATTAAATGGCAGTGTTTTTGTGAGATGGAGATACTGCCAACTGCCCAGAATGTCGTAAGCAATTGGAGCAGGCCCTCATTGACAGGCAGGGACAGTTGAAACACCCTGAGAGGATGATGTAGAGGTAAATGGAGCCAAGAAGAGCAGACGCCTCTTGAATGAAACAAAAACAGAAACTGCTGCAGAACCTCGGCAGGTCTGACAACAGCCGTGGAGAAAGAGGAGAGTTTAACATTCTGGCTTCAGAGACCCTACTTCTGGAACTCATTGCAAGTCCAGCGGGTCTGTCCAAGGTTCCACAATGTAGGCGTGTCCCCAATGAGCCACGTGCTGCCTGTGTAACCGGTCCCAACCGGTTCGAGAATTGGGTCACACCGGGATCTACCACCTCACATTGGGAGGGGGGGGGGAAAAGCATTGGACACGTGACATCTGCTTTTTGACTCAAAGGAGTGGGGTAATCAAGCTTGGTCGTATGGCCTGAAGGGGTTAGTCAGTTTTATTTGCTCTAGGTGAAGCTTCCCCAATTTGCTGAGTCGGGGTTTGACGGATTGGGCGGTTGGTTTGACAGGTTGAGTCCCCCCGCTGTAGGTGTTGGTGTGAGCCGGGGCCTCCTTTAGCTGCTGAATTAGTGTCGGCGGGAGCGGGGGGGAAACGAACAACCAGCACCAGAAGCGGCAGCATGTCCGGTAAGGGCCTTCACCAGGCTATGATCCCCGCTTACAGCACCAGCATAGGTGCTTTTGGGCCTCCGGTTCGGCCTGTAGAGCTTGACAAGCGTCCTCAGCCTCCCCTCCTCGCTTTTCCGCAGCGCATAACCGTCTTCTCCTGCCCTTTCTGTATCCGGCCCGAGGCCTAGCCCGGTACCGCAACTCGCAGTCGGGAGGGTCGCCCGTGTTTAGGGGTGTGCGTGGGGGAGTTGGGTTCTTTATCGCTTTCCCCGGCCCCGATGGTGAAGTGAGCTGATCTTTTGAGGGGCTGGGGGGAACCCGGGCGGTTTTTGATCCTGTCTCCCGAGCTCCTGTTACTGCGGCCTGGCGAAACAGCGTGACGCAGTTCCAAATGACCCGGCCGCCATCTTGAGGGGCGGGCGGGAAGGGAGACTGCCAGCCTTTCCCAACATCACCCTTCTTTTCCCCAGCCTCCTCAACTCTGCGGAACGTCAAGAATGACCCCTTTCTCCTTCCTCCCGACTGCAAAAATGACCCCCTTTTTCCACCCCACCCGATCCCCTGTCCTTTGTCATATTCCCTCCTAGGCGATTCCTAACATGACCCTCCCCCTCCCTTAAGTACCATTCCCCCACTCATACACATATATGTGCCTTGTGCAGGAGAATGCAGCGAAGTCATTAGTTTCTATGGTAAAATTTGAGCTTCTAAAAATAATGATCACTATTTATTTGAATAGTATGGGCCTAGATGTAATACAATTGGTTTGGAGTGATACTTCTGTGAATCAAATTTCTCTCTTCTGACACCAAGCTAAGAAAGTGGCATTCTACCAGAGGTAACAGCTGCTCTTGAAGATAGTAGATTGCATGCTCTACTTCGTGGGTTAAAGCTGGGCAAATGTGTTATGCCAAGTATTGGAGGGTTTGAGGATGAGGTTATACCTCACTAATAATTGGAATGCACCATACTTCAGATTAAATTGTGGGTAATAAATTAAGATGACTAAAAATGAAAGTTAATGAAAACAAGTGCATTATGTACAGTTGCAAATGGATTGTGGAAATCTAGAGGAGTGAACATAGTAGTGTAGATAGTGAAGCTTAAAGTTGGGGATGGTGTGACCTTGTTTTGCAAATGCAAGGTAAATTACGGGTAACCAGTAGATAAGACTGGATTTTTAGGTGGCCTTCGAGTTCTATAATGTAAAGGTAATCTTGAACTTGTACAAAACTGCCTGTACGGCTCCCCAAAATCTCAGGCAATCTAGTTTAAAAGACTTAATTGGAATAGAATAGCCTCAGCATGCAAAATGGAATGATAAGCTTTTGCAGTTTAAGATTTGATGTTTGGTGTTCTCAAACCTGTGGGTCAAGTGGCAACCACCTTCAAGGTTCTGAGGAGTTAGAAAGGAAGTAACATTTCATGATTTGACATTGGAAGATGCAGTTAGAATAACTGCAGAGTAAACTTGAGGATTCAGAAGTATCTTTGTGTAAAAGTTGAGCAGTGTACATATTGGAGATAGCAAGAACTGCAGATGCTGAAGTCAGCCAATACAGCGTGGAGCTGGAGGAATGCCGCAGATCAGGCAGCATCAGAGGAGTAGGAGAGCTGACGTTTCGGGCTTAGACCCTTCTTCCGGACCTGATTTCAACGTCCCGAAGAGGGTCTAAGCCTGAAACGTCGACTCTCCTCTGATGTTGCCTGACCTGCTGTGTTCCTCCAGCTCCTCTCTGTATCGACAGACTGTGCATGTTCTCTGCTGCAAAATACTAACGCAATTGAAAGACTCAATTACCCCAAAGGAAATTGGGTTAGTGTCTAAAAAGTATATTGAAAGGTACAAATTCATTATTTTCCGGTCACAGTAGGAGGCAAAGTTTTTTTTATAAACATGTTAATCTCAATTCAAAATAAACATTTGCATCATAAAAGTTGCCATTTGGACATTTTGTTTTCACTTAAAAATGTAATCTTTTGACAATCTCACTGGTATTAGCAGCATTGGTTCAATTCCTGCACCAGCTGAGGTTACCTTGAAAGACTCTTCTTTTGAACTTCCCTCCTTGTGTGAGGTGTTGTGACCCTCTGGTTAAACTCACCACCAGTCTCTCTCTACTGCGAGACTAGCCCTATGGTCCCCTTGTACTATGGTGACATTACTTTGTACCTGACATGAGTCTACCTACTATATTGAATTTTTGATTTGGAGACACCTATTAGCTTGTCTTAATACTAATTGAGCGTTGTAAGACTGCTACCACCTAGCTTAAGATGTAGTTGAATTAAACTGCTAAAAAATTAAATAGGACAAGGACTTGGAAGCTGGAGTGCTTTGTAAAGAATTATTAAAATTTAAAAACAATGACTGGAGAAACCATCTTTGCTTATGATTTTTATTCAGCATAATTTGCTCCTGGTTGAGATTGCAGCTATTTTTGTGCAAGTTCCCTTATGTCAGTTTCCTTAAAATCAAGAAGGTTTGTGTGTAGTTGCTTAACTACTATAATTTTGACAGAATAGCCTCTAATATCCATGCAGCCACTGAAACACTTAATTTTATTTCTCGTGAGCTGAACGTCATGAGTTTTCATTAAACTGGGTAAAGGGAACTAGTTCTGACCTACCTTTCCAGGTTTCTTGGAGGTAAATCTTTTAGAAGTGAGCAAGGTTGCGACGTGTTGGCTGATAGTGACTGCTGGTGCTGAATTTTTTTAAAAAACTTTCTTTTAAATTAACAGATTATGGAAATTACAGTCAACCTGGAGCTCAAGCACAAAGGTATGCATGCATGTCAGGACTTAAAAAAGCAAACCTGTAAAACTGAAAATATTTAGAAATTTGAAAGCCAGAATGTGCTGGAAATACAGACTTGTCATTTTTACAGTTGCTGACAGTTGAATTTCTGAATAAAAGCAAAACATTGCAGAAATTGGAGATCTGAAACTTTAAGTGCTGGAAATAATCAGCAGAAGATCATAAGAAATCAAACATTTTGGCACCTCAAGGTTGTTCCATCACTCATTGGGATCGTGGCTGATCTGATCTCATTCTACTTTGCTGCCCTTCCCCCTACTCCTTGATTCCTCAACTAATCAAGAATCTATGTCTGAGCCTTAAGTATACACAAGGACGCTGCCCCCACAAGTCTGTGGCAAGAAAATTCAAATAGTTACCTGCTTTTTCCCTCCTGCCAGCAGATCTAGCAACATCTGTAGAGAAAGAAGTAGTTAAGTTTGAGTCCAATTTGCTTTCTTCAGATTTTGTGTTCCAAGGAAGTCACATTGAAATCTACGTAAGATGCTGCTAGACTTGCTGTGGTTTTTTTTCTAGCATTTGCTTTTTATTTCTGAATATCAGCAATGTGGTTCCTTTAACTGAAAGATTAACATTCCAGGTTTAGAACCTAACTGTTTCTCTCAAGTCTGGCGTATTTCAGTTTAAACTGTTTAAATCTTTTGTACTACATGTGCTTTGCTTTGCTTTGCAAGACCAGCATTTACCATTGAAGGTGGTGAGGTGCCATTTTAGACATCTGCTGTCCATGTGATGTAGGTGAACCCTCAATGGTGTTAAGGAATTCCAGTATTTTTTTGACCCTGTAACTTTATAGTTACAAGTCAGAATGGTGTCTGACTTGGAGGGGAACTTGCTTGTCACCCACGTGTCATCACTAAGTACAAATGTGTTGACCAACCTGCGTGTATTTAATTGGGTTATAGTTTGTCAGGTTCTCTAATCGAAGGCAAATGTTAGTCAGTTATAAATAGCCGATAACTTGATTGGAATAAGTGAGTTCTGCAGTTTTGGTGTATGGGCTACAGTGTCATCAAATGCTGGAAATTCAGAACCAAAATGTGGTTAACTTTTTGAACTGTCCAACATTTAACATTTCACTGTTAAATAACAAATGATTTACAGAAGGTTTTTTGTTTTTTTTTTTTTTTGAAGCATTGATGTAAACTGCTGTAGCTGTTCTAAAGTTTACAAATCAAGGAATTAAACAAACTCAGTATTCTCATGAATTCTGCAATGTTCTAGGTGTAGTGTGATTATGTAGCAATCTCAAGGATAGGGTAAAAGAAAACTTGATATAACTAAATACTTTGAACATGTAGTCATTGACTTGAGTATAGTGTGAATGAAGATTTGTTTTAATGTCACTTTTTTTTTAAAAAAAAATCCTAGCTGAAAGGCAATAGTAGTTGAAGGTCAGTTCCTGATAAGGACTTTGAAACCATGCAGAGCTTTTGTCAGCACACTGCTTTCACTTTTGAACGACACTGAATATCGTGATGTCATTGCTTGTAATTATGTGCTTCACAGCCCAATGTTTTAGTGGAAGTCTTTAAAATGTGATTTTTTTTTTTTTGAAAATGATATTTGTATATTTTTTCCCCTCTTGTAGCTATGGAGCCTATGGTGCCCAGTCAAACCAAAACTATGGGCATGCTTCACAGGTATGTTCAGCGAAATGACTTGGGTTTGAGAGTGACTTGGAAACCATAATGACCTACCATACTCTGCCTTTTGGAGGCTTGTTAACTTTTTCTCTCTGGTGTTCTTTGTATTTTTTTCATGCAAGTGTTTTGACTTCACAAGATTAGTCCTACTAAATGGTTTTGGATTGTTAACCCCCAAGTGCTTAATTAAGTAGGCATCTGAGAGTGGCAGTAAATAAAAATTAATCCTACAGTCTTCTTGAAACTTAAATCTGGGTATCAGCCACTCAAATGTTATAGTGAGAGTCGCTTCTTTTTGTGTGAATTATCATTGGTAATCAGTTGCTAGCAAGTATGATTGTTCACCTAGGAAATTCTGTAATTACTAGTCGGGTCTGAGTTCTTGTGTGGCTGAGGGCTGATCCTATAGCAGCCTTTCTGACCTCGCTTGGTAGGTGCAGTTGGCCCTTGGGATTGACTTGCTGGCATTCATTTCTCTGGTTCCTTTTCAGTACTTCCTCTTACCAGCAGGTATTCTTGAAGAACCCTGTCTCCTCCTACAGGAGATATGAATTGTATATTTGCAGCTAAGAGTTTTTCTCTATAAATCGCTGACTGAATAAGCATGTGATTAACTTAAATATGATCATTGTAGATTAAACTTGAGCCATATCATTTATTGCCAACATAGCTGCTTCTGATGGCTTCCTTTATGAATCTTGTTTTTGAGCTATGGGCTTTGTTATTCAAGTAAGTTAACAGCCCTGTTTGAGTTACTTGTTCTTTTTGCTTTTCAGACAACCTATTGTTTCTAGGTGCAGCTACAAGAGTTAAACTTGTGTTTGCGATTTTCCCCTGCTTGGCATCAGAACTGCATTACAAAGATTTATGGATATGTTACTGTGTTTCCCTATATTTAATGTTCTGAATATGTAGTTTGGTAGTGTCCCTACCTCTGAGTCAGGAGACCTGGGTTCAAGTCCCTAACCTGCTCTAGAGGTGTGAATAATGTCTCAATCTGGCTTAACAATAATTGAGATTTCTGTTGTAATTAGAGCAGGCTTTATTCTGATCTCAACTCCATTTTAAGCAATCATTAAGCACAGGTCACGATTACGTTTTGATCAGCTTGCCATTAGTGAAATAAACTCTTTATATCTGATTACTCGTAATACCTTTTGATACTCGTGCAGTAAACTGTAGGCTTTCAAATGATTCGTGGATACCAATTTTAAATCTCTTGGTGAAGGCATAGCTGGCTATTAACGTCTTGTCCAAATACTTGATATTTGTAGTCATATTTTCTGTTGCGCAATTTTATAAGTCACTTTTTTTATTACACTATGCTATGAAAGCGGAGACCAATACCTATACTTCTGCTACTTCTGGCCTTGGATGAGGACATCTAGAGGACTGGAACAATCGTGATCTGACCTTCACTTTACCCAAAATTGTTCTCGTGTAGAAAAAGCCTCATTTGCCCATCACTATGGACATGCGATGTATTTGTAAATTGGTCTGACTGCCTGAATCATGTGTGATCTTGCCTCTCCTACCTCAAATCCTAGACACCAATCTCTACACTCAATTTCAGGCCTCTTGTACATCCCTTCCTTCCGTCACTCCAGTAATTGCAGCTGTGCCTTTTAGATTCGTGGGTCTAAAATTTAGACCCTTCTCCTTATTTCCTCTTTTTTATAAATTCTGTTTATAACTTAACTCTTTGCCCAAATGTCTGCTGTCTTTAAATAAAATTTGATGCCAAGCTGCGCAAGATGTTAGGTAACTTTTTTTGTGAATAGTCTGAGACATCCTTACTATTTAAAGATGGTATTCAAATGCAAGAAGACCATCCTGATGTTGTAGCACTGCAATTTTTAACTCCGTACTCCCTGGTTGAAATACTGAAACAGACCTTTTGGGTCAGTGTGTTCATCTTCTGATCCAGCCCACTGAAGAAGCAAATAATACTAATGTTCCATATTCCTCTTGCATAATATAATTTTGAATGAAAGCATTTTCTGCTTCAACTGCCAATGCTGGAAATGAGTTCTAAATTTTAACCCAAGACACCTCCATCATTTATAAATAACTCTTCAATATTAGAAACTGTTTGAGATGGAAGTGCCTATTTTGAACATATGGTCACTAATGCAGTGAAGCAGCTAATTGTGTGGAAACAGCAATAAATGCATTTAATTGGTTGCGTTGGTCATTTATTTTATTGAATTGATATTTCACACTAACTCCTCAGGTGTTAAAATATTGGAATCTTTTTGTTCCTGTCTCGTTCTACCATCTTTTCTGAGATGGTACTTTTACAGCAGTGCACTGCACTGTACTGTTGCATGGACCTATTATTTAGTGGGGCTTGGCCCTGAACATTGATTCATGAGCAGTGTTACTGAGAAGAGACTGGCAGGAACGCATTTTGCTCCACATGGCAATTTTCATAATTTTTTAAGTATCGTTTCTAGCGTATGTTTGTTTTCAGTCATAACTCTGGTTGCTTAACCTCGAGTGTCTAATTGCAACCTGCATTTAACAGTGGTGTAATTTGAGTTGATCATGCTTTTGAAGGCATCCAAATGCACCAGTAATGAAATCATTGCATATATTGAAATGATGAGATGACATTTAATCTGTCACTTTGCTTCCAACTCGTTTATCTATTTGAACAACTATCAACTTTTTTTTTTGTGTGAGGGATGATGAGATTTATTCATCTCAATTCTTTGCAAGTCATCTTTTTCTCTAACTCTTGGAAGATTTTGGTACAGTTATTAACTGAACATTTACTTTTTTTGCTTTCCAACTTCTAAAACCTGAACTGCATTCCTGCTTCCTGGGTCTTTCTAGTGGGTTGTGCTTTTGTTGGGAAATGAAGAATTTCTTTTTCTGGAGACATCTGGATGATCTACAGAACTAATTTTCAGATCTGTTGGCACTCATTCATTCTGCTTGACATCACTCGATCTGATCTTGAAATTTGTACTGTTCTGAGATTTCACTGCTACCATCAAATTTTTCGTTGCTGTGCTCCTTTTTATTAAAGTTACTATGGCTTTCCTATCAACTAGGTTCAATAACGGAACAAATATGAATGTTAACCAGAGGGTACCTAACTTTCTGCAAGATGTTGAACATCTTGTATACTACCCATTAATCGTTTTCATGAGGAAAGAATTTTTTTCGAGCATGGCAGTAAATCATTGCATTTTGTCTTGGTTCATGTTATTTCAACACTTGTATACGATTCCTCAATTGGCAAAGAGGACAGTTTAGAAATGCTCACGGTTTATAGGTGCTTTTCAGGTCTTCTGCTCACTGTCTTTTCAATTTAAAATTACCCAAGACATTCATGTACACCTGGAGTCCTATCTGTAAGTTCACATTTGACCTGCTGGTTTTGTGTCCGAGACTTTTCCACATCTCCATTCGTTGCAAAATTTTGAAAAAGGCAGTGATTTATTCAGCTTTTTTTAAAAAAAATAAAATCAGTTAAAAGTGTAACAAATAGAATTACATAGATTACTTCCATGCTTTACAATCAGCTGAACTGGCCCATGCTGCTTTTATACTTCACGTGAGCTTCTTCCCAGCCATGACAACATTTTCCTTCTATTTCTTTTCTTTTTCTCCAGTGTTTGGATAACTTTCCTTTTTAAATAAATCCTATGTTGTTGGCCTCTGTTAATCCTTGTGGTTTTGAGTTTTACAAACTAACCACTGAACAAAATTTCTCCTGAGTCCCCTGTTAGACTTCTTTGACTCATTGTGGTACATTGTTTTGATCTCAAGCGGAAATATGTTTAAGTTGGCCAGACAATGATAAAGAGCTGTTCCACCAACTTTTTTGGGGTAGTGTGGCTTGGATGGAGGGACCCAAGTTCGTTCAGCCTTTCGTGAGCAAACACCTTTTGTTCTGGTGTCATCCTTGTCAAACTTCGCACCTTCTCCACTGTGCCTTTTTAATAATGGACAGTTCTGGTCACTGTGTGATAAAACTGGTTTCTGTACAAATTATTTTTCTGTCCATTGGAATTTGACCCACTGTTACTTCCACTACTGCCTTGTTCCCTAATTATTGTCTTCTGTTTTTGTGTCCTTATCCCTAAATATCTTACTCCTTGGAAAGTTGTGTCTCTTTCCTGACAAAGTGCACCACTTCATGATTTTGTCTTGAAATTCAAATGCCAGTTGTGACAGTTCTTGCAGATTTATCAAAGTCATCTTTACTTTGTGACCACTGTCTTCATTAGCTATAAACCCTTACGGTTCTCCCAAACTTTGAATAGCAGTTAAGAACTGAGAGGCATAACTATCTACTTCATTAAGTAGATAGTAACACTAACACTAAATGTGTTGGTGTACAGCACATCTTTTCAATGTACCTTCAAATTTTGTTGCACTTGCATTATTTTTGACATTACAGGGCCTTTAGTACATTCCAGGTTGCTGTTGGGCTTAGGAACGTTATGCAGTTTTCCTTTCTTCTACAGAAGCTCTGATATGAATGTTTAAGTCTTTGGACAGGACCTCCTAACTTCCAGAAGTAGGAATAGTTTTGTCAATAACAAAAAGCTGGCATCCACACTAATTATACAAATGTACTTTTGTACTAAATGGATTCTTTGTGCATGAAAATTAACTATCATTTTTTCTCACTGAATTTGTGAAAAATGAAAACTTGCAGATTTGATGGCATTTGTGTGTGTAACTTATCCTAATTGCAGAGATGAAGTAGCTGCATATTTTGGGGATGAGGGGGAATAAAGTTGGCAAAAGACTACCTTTTTCAAAATAAATCAAATGGTTTGCACAGTAGTGTTGAATGATTTGGGGAATGTAAGTAAAATGGAATAAATTCCCCAGCAGAGTATCCTACTGGGAAAGGGCATATTGGTGGTTGGGATAGTACGTATAAGTGAAACCATTTATAATGTAACTAATGTACATCTCTCTACCAAGGGTTATGGTGGATATGAGCAGTCTGGTGGTGCTTCTGGATATGGACAAAGCCAAAGTGGGTATGGTTCAAGTTATGGACAAGGACAGTCAGGTATGCCATGGTTTTTGTCTGAATTGTAGCTTTCCCTGAATAAGGGTAGCTATATCAATGTAAATTTCACTTTCTATTTTACAGGGTTAAATTCTTCTCAATCTTCAACAGGCTATCGACAGAGTGGACACAGCTATGGAAGTGAGAGCTCCCATAATACTTACGGACAGCAACCATTGTATGGAAATTATGGGCAGCATTCAGATTCCCCTAGCAGGTAATGTCCCAGTAATTCACTCAATCACACACGTTTGTTTCTTTAATTGTATGGAATGTATCATATTTTTGGTCAGGAGTAAAATACTTCTTCAGACTGCTGGTCCTGGCTTGGTTTTTTAAAAAATCGCTGCTATCCTTTGCAGAATGCATTAGATTTCTTAATTGTCTATTTATTTAAAATTGCTGCCTTTAATTACCGCCTCATACTTTTTTGCATCTGGTTGTCATTTAAATCACATTTGCCTATGATTGCCATATTTTTGGAGTTCTTCAAAGTAGTGGCATTGCACCCTAGGGTATGTTCAGCCCTTCAATTTATCCCACCATCTGGAACCCCCAATGACTTGTGTAGGACAGTTCCTACTTAGAGTGCATTCCTTCTGGGAATGTAGCCTCATCAGAAAGTGCTGCTATTTTGGATTTGCCATGGTAAGAGTGACTTTCTTGAGAGCAGGATATTTAGAAAACTTCTTTCCCTTTCTCTTCCGCTACCCCAAAGAATTTTCACACCAATTATTCATAATTTTCAAGTTACAGTGCCCTTTGCACCTACCTCCTCCCAAACACCTTCACATGGTCCTTCTGTCAGATTCCAAGATCACATGTACAGTGCACAGCTGTTTACCATATCCCATGTCACCATGTGCAACAGGATTGGAGGATTACTTGTATACATTACAAGATTGTGTATAGCGCATGCCTTGCCAACTTCCTGTACCATTTAATGCCACACTTATATAACTAAATTTATTTTAGCCTAGGCAAATTTATTCTACTTACCCCTGATTGACTTATTGTAACATGGGATTGACTCCGAGCCCTGGTCCTCCCAATCCCGACTTCCACTTTGAACAGCTGCAGCACAAGAACTCAAACGGTAAGTAAACCTTCATCCTGCGGCTATTGCATGACCATTGTTAAAGTACACTTAATGTATTTGGGTGCAGAGTGCTCCTATCCACTACAATCCTGAATTCACATATGCAGTTGTGTAGTTGTACCTTCCCTAGCAATAACCCATTCCTGCTGTGCTGATTTGTATCTTGTTTCTGCTTTAAAATCATGTGTGAGCTGTATTATCAAATTGTGTTGAACAGACACTTGATACCAGGTTGTGGAGCAGTTTTTCATTTCGATTGAAATCCCATTGAAGCCAAGCTCATAACTTTATTCCACCATAATCTTAACTCTTGGAGCCCAGTGACCTTTTTTGGTTCCTAGGACAGGAGTTTACAGCATTATCTTTTCTGCTTCTCTTCCTCCTATTTGTTTTTGGTCATGCCACCTTGCACTGTAACTTTTCCCTGAAGCCTTAATGACCATGCTACTTTAATTTTTACCATTTCAAGTACAGGTTCCTCCGAGGACAAGACTGCATCCTTATCTCTTGAACACTCTATGAAATATCCTGTAATATGATGCAATTGGTGTTGCAGTTTTCAAAGCTTCTATCTGTAATTGAGAGCTTGTTTGTACTTGCTATCTGGTATTGAGCTTAGAATTATTTTTAAATTCCAGGTTGTCTACACTTTTCCTATAGCAGCTATATAATATTCAGCAGCCATCACTTTATTTACCTGATGCTTCAAAACTTGAATGAACCCAAGACTCTGTCTTGCCCCAACCTCGAGTCAATTAACAGGAAAGCTTTATGGAGCATTATATAAAAGGCTGAATGAATGGATGCTTGATAGGCACCCTGTAAATCATGACCCACTAGCTGCTCTGAAACCGGACTTAACAGTTAATTTCCCTAAACACTGAATAGCCTCTGAACACTCCAGCCAAATTCACCACCTCGGATGGGAACAGTGCGATAATTAGAACAGTGCCTCTGACTGCTAGATAAACCTTGGTCACCAACTAAGAAAAATGTTGGATAGTCCATTTAATAACAACTTCTTTTACAGCTATGGCTCAAAGTCTGAGACACAATATAGTACCCAGCAAAGCCAACCAAGTTACAGCCACTCCACTTCGTATCATCCACCTCATGACAACTACGGCCAACAGACCTCAGGAGGTAAGGGCAATGGGGAGCTGTAGAAACATTTGGTATTTTTTTTAAATATACTAATCCAGTACTGTGCATGTGGGAGAGTCAGAGTGAATGGGATGAATTATGGGTAAAAGTTGATAATGAAAATTTTCTTCACTTGTTCAGTGAAAGTTTTTGAGGGCGGAGGGGTAGAGAGGGGAAGCAGGTCCAAGTTGAGGCCACATAACTGCTTATCTTGGAAACTTATTTGAAAAATTGAGCAAAGTATTAATTTTTGAGAATGGAAGCTTCTGTAAATTACAATTAGTATTTTTTTAAAATAACTAACTAGAGATGCTTCAAGTGACAATTGTTAATAACCATTGAATTTTCTTTCCAACTCCAAGATGACTATGAGCAAGATAGACCTAGCAGGAGTAAATTTGGAGATGACAACCGGAGCTTTGGCAGATCACAGGGTAATGGAGGTAGAGGTCGTGGAGGATATGGTCATGGTGGCTTTGACGGTGATGGTAGAGGGGGACGTGGTAGAATGGGGTAGGTGCTTCTTCATTATATTTAATTAAAAACATGCCTGTCAAGTCACATCTTAACAGAATCTGTTCCATGTTGTATAGAATATGGGAGTTAATTTATGTACTGTACTGTACTTGATTTAAATTAACTTTTAAACTGGAAAGTTGTGTAGTTTCTACCATTTGGTAGATGACACTAGTTAAGACAAATGATTTCTAACCTAGCTGTTAAAGCTTCTCTAAATTTGTGCCACTGCATATTGTGTAAGTGACTGTTGTCTATGTTCATAAAATTAATGGAAATCTAGCTTTGCAATTTTTAATAGATCATTCTGGTACTTGGATGTGTTGACTTGTTTCATAGCTAATTGTTATGACAGTCTGAAATATCAGAGTGGTTATCTTCTTGTATGAGTCCATATGCTATTTAGACTGCTTTTCAACCACAAACTTGTCTGCTCTATCCATCTTAGTGTATATACAGATACTTGAGCAATAATACTGCCATGGTCACTTGAATTTAATAAAATGTAAAAGCATTTGTATTACATGCTGCACTTCAGTATGTGGAAGCTTTCAGATTTGGGCTGGGCTACACTGAGCAAATGGAGTGACTTGAATTCAAGTCATAGCTTATAAGGTCCAGATCTTGCATGGTCTCGGCTACTGTTTAAAATTGCTTTCGAGGATGAAATGAAAAATTCCTTTGTGCAGGAGCTCCAAATGAACTAGACTCTTTGAACAAACGCGAAGTGAACTGTTATTTGGCTTGCCTTGTCCAAGATCTCTTTAGATATTGAAAGTGTTACAATTCAAAATATTTCTATACCTAGACTGAGGCAACAATGTTTAATCTTAAACAAGGAACAAAAACAGGACTGAGGAAGGGTCACCAGACCCAAAAAGTTAACTCTGGATTTTTTTTTCTTTACAGATGCTGATAGACCTGCTGAGCTTTTCCAGCAACTTGTTTTTGTTCCTGACTTACAGCATCTGAAGTTCTTTTGGTTTTTGTTAACTTTAAAGTTATTTTAATTGTTTTCAGCCATAGGTTCATTTTTTTAGAGTAATGTGACTAGTTTTTGTTTAGTTTTATGAAGCACTTATTCATTTAAGAAATACAAAACTTTAACAGGGGCGGCACGGTGGCCCAGTGGTTAGTCAGGAACCCGGGTTTGGTTTCACCCTTGGGCAACTGTGTGGAGTTTGTGCATTCTCCCCGTGTCTGCGCGGGGTTGCTCTGGTTTCCTCCCATGGTCCAAAGATGTGCAGGCTAGGTGGATTGGCTGTGCTAAATTGCCCATAGTTTTCATGGATGTGTAGATTAGGTGGGTTGTAGGGGAATGGGTCTGGGTGGGATGCTCTGAGGGTCAGTGTGGACTTGTTGGGCTGAAGGGCCTGTTTCCACACTGCAGGGATTCCATGATTTTTAATACCATTCCTTCTATAAATATTGATTACTGCAGCTAACAAAGCTAAGCTTGGTGAAATAAATATGGTTAAGCTGCATTTATTTGTTGTTGAGCCTCCCGAGGTGATGCTCTTTGTCCATCTGTGTAAATGATACCTGACGACCTAAGGCTGCTGCACCAAAAGACATGTGGCTTCCTCTGCAATACAAATCTATAATTGTTTTGCTATCTAAGTTGCTGTATGGTTTATTTTGATAAAATTAATTACCATCCATTTAATGTCCAAGTTCAAGATCCTATTTTCACACTAAAGTGGCACTTCTGAATGCTGCACTGTTCAAAAGTGTTACATTCTTGGGTAAGTTTGTAACCTGGTGGTCTTTTAATGTGGGAGTTCCTGTGTCAAAGCTATGTTTTGTGATTGTCGAAGCTGCCAAAAATACTAAATCATTCAGTTGTCATAGGTTGTAACCACCAACCCCTCCAAGATTGTTGTGCACATTGTTGGCATGCTGACCATGACATTTTCTCCCAGTTTGGGAAGTTGATTTCATGCACAGACCTGAAGCCTGCACAGCAAAAAGATGACTATTACACTGGATGTAATTAGCTTAAACAGCTGCTCTCTCAGTTGCACTGGGACCTGAGCTGAATAAGTTCATATTGCATTTTGTCCATGGTGGAAGCAGTTATTTGAACTGTCCAATACAATGGGATTTTTGAGTCCCAAACTGCCTGTGAATGGAAAAGCAGTATTAACTCTCTCTCTACTATTTTGGTTTTATGCTTCAGATAGGATTTTAGTGACTTTTCTACATTGAAGGTGCAGGACCACTTTAAAAGTGGGTCTACTGCAAATACTGGTTAGAATCTGCAGATTTTAACATGTAGGTTCTTTCAGTAAACTAATGATCTCCCAAATTAACTAGTGTTATGCCTCAAGCTGGGTTTGAGTTTGCATGACATGTGGCTAACACTTCTGTAGTTGAGCATCCTAATTTTTGGAAACTAGAGAAATGAGTTGTGTTTTTACTTTTACGTTGGTCACTATTTAATGTTGATGCTATCCTTTTGATTTAAATTTATGCCAGTTTATCTCCAGGCAGGACCATACTAGCAGATTTATTCAGATGTTGCATTTATTGTGATCTCCTTGCTGAGAAGGCAGGGGAGGTTTGAATCCACCAGGAGTAAATCATTTGTTTTTGCTCTGTCTTCTGAAATACTGTAGGAATTGGACATTTGTAGGTATACATTGCAATTATGGTGTGCTGACACTTGTCAGTAACCTTAATATATTTCACAAGATTGTGGTATGTTCAGAGTTCTTGAAAGAATAACTTGTGTGGAACAAAGTCTTTTTTGCCTCTTTTCCATGTTGCAGTGCTTTTTTTGTAATTGTTTTATTGTTGCATATGTTCAGTGCATTCTACTGTGCAAGCAGTAATGTCAAATTTATGTAATCTATGAAAATGCTAAGTAAGTGTTATTTGTTTGAAATATTGTGCATTTCGTTCTGCCATGAATGAGGTTCTAAGCCATCTGCAGTGAAATTTTCGTAGAGGCTGCAACGTAGCTCCAATTTGCAAAAAGTGGATTGCGTTTAGATTTATTCAGTATATATTCAACTTGTGCCTAGGTACAGTGAGAAGTGGATGGAGTTACTGCCTGCACAGGAAAAAGTGAGACTTAGGGTTTTTTCTAAACAAATCCAATCTGATGACCTTAAATTTTTCATAAGGTCATTGTTCACTTGTCAGTTCATAAAGCACTACAACTGAAGGCTTACTGTAACTGGTGATCCTTGGCCTTAGTGGTCCGTTTATTAATAGTTGTAATGGAGGGTATTTTTGGGTGTATATTGTTCTATTGTGCTCGCCTTTTGGTTTATGATTGGGCAGTGCTGCAAATGAGAGAATTCAGCATGGTTTTTCCTGATCGTGAGTGGGAGCAAGTGAAGCAATGCCATCTAAATTTGAACTAACATAAGATGCATTATGCAAGTAAAGTTGCTATAATAAAGCTGTAGAATTTTTATCCTCCCCAGGGAAGTGTCTGGTTTCCACTTGATCAAGTATTTGGAACACTAATCAAAAGTTCAGGGTGAAAAATAATGGTCACCAATCTTCCAAACGTGTTCCTCAGCAATGCACTATTGCAGTCACTAATCTTGCCATTGGAAGCTGTTGAACTCGGCTATTGTACTGGGGTGTTCTATCGGTTTGTTTAGAAGTAGGCCAAAACAAACGTCAAATGTGTACAGCTTCTAGCTAAAGATTTGGGAGTTGCTTCTGCACCTGGGTTTGTAGTAATTTCATCTTCACTGGTAAATATTGAATTGGTCTCTTTAAACTAGTGTATTTTCTTATCTCGGTTGCTCAGCTGATCCTGCTAGCCCTGCAGCTAATTATAACTCGACATAGAATTAAACTTCCCTCTTGTCTATTAACTGGTAGATGTTTCAGTACTGAAATAATAAAAGTTGAAAATGCTAGGAATTGTCATTATTTTAGATTTCCAGTATCCAAAATACTTCTGTTTTGAATTCTTGGGCCAGCATTTATTGTCAGCCTGAAGTGCCTGTGTGAAGCTGGTGGTGAAGATTGTTTTAATATTTTCTAATTAAGGTAGGAGGTAAGGACATTTTTGTCCAAGGGTGAAATAGTTCAGTTATTTAAGACTGGACACAATGCATATTAGCAGTAGGTTCACTTGCTCAACTTCTTTTTCTTCCCTTGGTTTTGAATGTGGACCTGAATATACGTATTTGGATTCTATTTTAAAGGTTCTGTTTTAAAGACATTCATATCACTCAAAGTACCATAGTTTAGTTCTTCAAACTGTCAATTTGGATGTAGGATATACCTTTCTTTCAGTTTGTGGTTAGTGTAAATTTTGGCACAATTAATGAAACTTTTAAACCCAAACTTAAAAGTGAAGTTCAAGGACTTGGCTTATACTGGTTATGGCACACACTCTCATTGGTTATACTACGTACTAATGACTGTGTACTTTAATTCTTAACCATGCACTCATGTAAGAAAAAAAAAACTTCTTGTAATATTATTAAACTTGCTTTGTTAACTTGCTCTTTTTTTTTTGTGCCACATGTTTGAATGAGTGAGCTAGTATGCTTCTCAACCTCAACTGAATTTCATGCATTTCACACACCTGTGGCCTCTGAAGCTTAAACTCATAAATTGTTAAAGCTGTTCCAGTAGCCTTGGTCATATTTAAAGCAAATGGTCCAAAAGTCTTCTGGCCAACTTGTTTTGAGTAAATTGTAACATAGCTAAGGGCTAAATAATAGGTTTACTCTAGTGGAACTCATTTTGAAACATGGTTTCACTTGCCCTAACGCTAGACACTAAAATTGGGTAATCTCATCAATTCTGAAGTTCGTTGTTGCTGTTAAAGTTTCTGCAATCTCCTCTGGGGATTTTGAATGACCTGGTTACTCAACTTGTGACAGTAATTATCAAAACTTTCATTATACCAAGATAAAGCCTTTTGGTTTAAACCTTTTAACTGGCATGAGGAAATCATCACTTCTTCAATTTCTTTTTCCTCTGCAGTGGTGGTGATCGTGGTGGCTTCAATAATTTTGGTGGTAAGTTTTGAGTATTAGAACTGTTATAAGTGAAATTCTGTATGAAGCCTGTGACATAAAGCCACCATTTCCTCATAATTTTCAGTGGGAATGTTTGGTATATACCAGCCTGGAAACATAGTGATAGGTTCAGCTAGCAGCAGTGTTGAGACTTGATCCTAAGTTTTGGGCTGGGGTCTGAATGTGGAAAGAAGCATGGAGGCGATGGGTGGTGAAAATGAGACTAGATGCAACCTTCCACAATTGATACTAGAGATGCACAATCTACTAGAAAACAAACTAGGGGCTTGATATTTCAATCCCATCACTATTCCTTCCAGTCTGTGTAGGTGCTTGTGGCGTGAGTAGCAACCTGGAAACTATTGAACAGGTTGCTCTTCTCTTAAGGTGCTGTGGAACCATTTAAGATTCTGTGTTTTAAAATGAACTGACCTTCTAAATTTCTGTTGTTTATCAATGGTCCTATCTCGTAATGGGTAGTGCTTGTTCAGATATCTCTGTAATCATCCAATATAACATCAATTTGAAACTTGCTACTTATTGCACCTCAAGTGTTTACTTTTGGGTAGAAACAGCTGTATTTGCTTAAAATAAATATGCTGGGAAGGGTGTGGAGGGAGAACCATCAATCTGATAAATTGGGATTTATCAAAAAGCATTGTTTTGTCTAACTAGCTTTGTAAACGTGTTTTGTTTTGAAACACTGCATTAAATTTTGTGCTAAGTCTTCAGTTTGTGCTAGAGTCTATAGAACAAGGTCATGATATTTAGCAATAGAAGTTGGCTGAGTGGCATTATCCAGAAGAGTGTTTGGTCCTGGCAATATTCTGAATTCAGTCTATGTGACTGTGTCTTCT